GTCCAAGTTTACTCCCCTACACTTTGATTTTTTCTGTAAGCTTCGAAGTTCGTATGCAAGTTTTTGTCAAACTAATTTGATCAAATATGTCCTCATTTCAAAGCTGGCGATGGAAACAATTTCAGTCCCAAGCAATTTCAATTCAAAACTTTGCAGTCAACACTCCATTTTAATTGAAACTCAGCGTTGTACATTCCATTGAAAGAATTTTCTGTCACTTTCAAAATTAATTTTCACATCTCCATTTTGTGATAACCATTATACATTCGTATAAAGGCTTTGAAATTTGTACTCTATTCTCACATGCACTCGGCCCTACACGGGTAGAAGTCATTGCTTGTCGGGAGGAAAGTAGCTAATTAACAATATAACGTCTTTGCAAGGTCCGGAAAAGTCCTCTAAACAATATTTTAGAGATGCAGAAACATGTCATGTATCACTATAATCAGGTACATGTAAATCAGAAGAAACTATATTCATCTTGACACGAGCCATGTTATTCATGTACTCTTATTGATTTCACGGCTCATGGCGGAATGGATAAAGTCCCTTTTGATTTATATGGGTCCAATTCCAATGGCCCAATGGGTCCATAGTGGCCCCTAGTCTCATTGTCAGCATCACAACCTCACTTCCAAGTCGGGTCGCGTCGGAAAGTTTTATAAAGTGGTCTCTAACAGAAAAGCTTCGGTCTTTTCTAGGAATTACTTTAGTGTGGCCTTTGCATTTTACCTTGAATTCAATAGATTTGTTCGTTGTAAATGTAAATTTTCCTGACTTTGAGATGCTTACATGAAGTCCCTCACCTACTTTATAAACTGACTTTTTCTCAGAAATCCGTTGTTTTTTAATCTCATTAGGCAGCTCCGCATGAAATGAGAATGAAAAGTCAACATGAAACTCCTGTGTTTGCTTTGTATTTGAGGCGGTTAATGTGCAAAACTTATCTGAACTTGCGCTCAATTTAACCTCTTGTTTGCCACATTGTCACGAATTCCATTATTTGAGGAGTACTTTGGAACAGGGGCGCATGCCCGAAAACGTCGTTCCGAGAAAATCGCATTTGAAAGTTCAAAAGTGTATAACACTGCTTCTAGCCAGTATCTTCGCACGGAATTCGATTAGTTTGAAAGAACGAGTCTTCGAGAGTATACTCGCAAAAACAGAACATTGTGACTACAATCCCCTATGATTCCAACGATAACGTAGATCGTTGTTTACGCCCTTCCTCCGAAAAAACAAGCCTACTAGTTAAAAACACCTTTTTTAGAAAAAAGATTATGAAACAAAGAGGTAAGCTGGGAAAGAAGCTACTTTAAAGCCCAATTTAAAGTGAAGGAGAAGTATATCTCCCTAAAAGATCACAAAAATCATCCCCCCCCCCCCACACGCCTCGTAGTAAACGGCAGAAAGGATCTGATTATAATGTCGAAGTTTTAGGCAAAATTTTGAAATTTTATTCTATATCAGAAGCAGAAAGTAAGGACAGTTTTAAACGGAATTGAGACCAAAAAGTACAAAATCAACCCAACCCTGCCCCAAATATGGAACTCTCAGGGTGGGGGACGAATCCTCCCTCCATAAAATATCATATCGCTTAGTTTACACAGAGAAATGGGAGAAATCTGTTTTCTGAGTAATTAGCCCTGAAGAATCCGAATTAGATGGTTGTATTGTATAACGCTACAGAAAATTTGCACGATGTTCCATTTTTTGATGATGGGGACATTTCTGATGAAATTTCAAAAATAAATAGGACCTTGCGTGAGGAGAAGACTGAAACGAAAAGTTCAGAAAATTAAGAGAAATTTTTGGGAAAAGCAGGTACACAATTTTTATCAGTGGCGTGGCGTGAATTGCGATGTATCGATTGTTCTGCCATTTAAACCCATGATAAGGAATCGATTATTAAGGTGTTCGCTGCGAACACCTTGTTTAACGATCCTTTTCAATTGCTTTAAATGACCGATCAATCGATATATCGCAAAGCACGCCACGCCACTGATTTTTACACTGAATTGCAAAGAGTTCAGAACGAGAAAAATTGCACTCACTCCTGCTCCGATTGTTTCGTAGGCTTTTTTTTTTCGTTTTGCCTCCCCATTTAGGCATTGTACATTTTGTTTAGCAAACTAAAAAAAAAAATAAATATTTATCGGGGGTGGAGGGGAATAGAATTCTATAAAAATTGTCGATGTACCTTTGGACGTTAGCGTCACGACACTAAAAAACTTCGCACATTGCCATGCGTTTTGTTAAGCTTTCAAGGAGAACCGAGCCATATTCATGTTGCGGAAACAAATGCATAATGAAAAAATGACGATGCAAAGCTCTGAGTCATGTTCCCTGATCGAAAAAATGAAATTTCCCTTTTCTTTTTTATGGAATTATTGAAGCGCCCTCTCGACCCTTATCCCTCATCGGTCTCGTCGTATTGTCAACACGCTTCCCGCACCAACGTTTAATCACCAGACGAAAAAAGAAAAAGGAATGAGTGGGCGTTGAATTCCGGCTTTCCATCGAAACGCGCAGCAGTGCGCACCCATCTCTCCCATCACCGAGGAAAATCCGGCATCACCGTATGCTCAAATCGGAACCATTCATCGCCAAAGAAATCGAAGATAGAGTGCCCTCCCTCCTGAAATGGACTACATTTTGCAATAAGGAACCAGGGTCGGACTGGATCGTATCTGAGGGCGTAGACCCTTGGCTGGTTAAAGGGGCGTAATGTGATATTTCCTGATGGGGCATCCTTTTCGTGAAAACAATTGCATTCAGAAAATTTTGGCAAGGCAGCACAAGTTTACGCTATTTTCAGGTTCAAAGTTCATAATCGTACAGAGTAAAAATTATAAAATTGAATGTATTGAAGTGACCGACAGACTTCTGATATTAAAGAAAACAAAGAAAATTAAAGCCACTGGACGCATCCAAGCACTATTATTTCCACAAGAACCGTGTCAGTGCTGCGGTTTAAACGAGCTAAAGACGTGGGTCTAAAAATCTATCCTAAAAAAGAATCAGGCAAAAACCTGAAAAAAGAAGAAAGAACGAGTATCAACACAGCCGACGACAAGAAATACGTATTCGGGCCTCTTTCTTAACTTTTCGGAGCGATACCTCATTGGCAGCATATAGCAGAGCATTGAGAACTCACGCTTCGCGTCATCGCTCCTTCAATTTTTCAGATGCAGCACTGAAGTCCATCAAGTACGAATAGTTGTATCTCTGCGCCGTCGTTGACGCGCATCCATTCCCTCGCTTTATTTCCATATTGTGTTTGTTTGCGTTTGTCTTATTCGTAATGTTGCTTCAAGCACTAAGTGAATAACACAGCCGAAGGTAGGAGAGATGCGTTCGGGCCTTTTTTTAACTTTTCTCCCGAATCTGAGTGACACCTCATTGGCAGCATATAGCAAAGCATTGAGAACTCACTCTTCGCGTCATCGCGCCTTCAATTTTTCAGATGCAGCACGGACGTCCATCAAGTACGAATAGTTGTATCTCTGCGCCGTCGTTGACGCGCATCCTTTCCCTCGCTCTATTTCCAATGTTGTGTTTGTTTCCGTTTGTCTTATTTGTAATGTTGCTTCAAACTAGAGCAGAGCACTGCGAGTTCCCGACTCACGCCATCGCGTCTTACATTTTTCATATGCAATGTGGACATCCATCTTGTGAGAATAGTTGTATCGCGTTTACACTTTAGATGTCTCTAATTTTTGAATTTCGAAACAAATCAAGGTTAAGTTTGCCCGAGATATGCTATGATATGTCCAAATCAATAGTCATTTTGAAAAGGAAGAAATATGTTTAAAGGTCTTTCATGAGGTCTATAAAGTGTGCGTATGTCTAAAAATCGAACCGGCTATCGTTTTTACGGGAGTTACACATAGAGAATGAAGGAGGAGGATGATAAAGCACCTGTATGTCAACAAAAAGGTGACAACTTCACAGAAAAGTGTTTACGTTTCAGAAAGTAGTTCTCAGACCTCTGTTCATCACTACGCGTAAAAGCACCTATCTTCACTCCTAACTCTCTCTTATTCTTCCGTTCATTCAAGAAATTTTCCGCATATATTCTCTGTCGTAATTTTTTCTCATCTTATTTTGCTATCTGTCAGAGGGGCGCGATTTTTGCGCGCCAAGGGGGCGTATCTGCCAGTGGCAGATTGGCCTTATGGCCAGTCCGAGCCTGTAAGGAACCACAATCTCTGGCTCATTTTAGAAACAACATGTATGCCATCGGTTTCCCTATGCAGATAGGTGCTTTCATGGAAGAGCCAGAGATATTCCTTATTGCAAAATGTAATCCAAATATTATAGTTTTTGCTTTTTGGTGCTCTTCGGTGCGTCTTACTTTCCCGATGAATATGTTACTTCTTATGAATGTGTTTCAAAGTTGTGTGAAATTTCATGAATTATTTCAAAAAAAAGTTCCAATCGTTGATATTTTTCATTCCACCTGTGCAACCCATCATTGCTGCAGGTAGCTATGGGAAGCAGAGGAGACTGAAATACGAGTCAGTTCTCCATGAAAATCTCGATTTCGTCACCTTCCGGCCAAAGTATCACGAGCGCCATGTGACGTTAAAAAAATTCCGCCGCCAATTAATTTTTTTGCAGAGAAATTGTTCAACGAAGCTGTCCGAAAATTTCTCTGAATTTTCTTCGGGCTGCCAACAAATTTCAGCAAAATTTTCAAGCAGATCAACCAACAATTTTTCTGTAAAAAAGTAAAATGGCAGCGTAAATTTTGGAACGTCGCGTGGCGCTTGTGATACTTTGACCGGAAGGTGACGATGTAAAATGTGTAATTAGACTTTGATAAAGTTTTAATCCTTGATGTTCATGCGTCAGGAGGTATTATTCACATGAGATCAATTTCCATTTTAGCGTAAATAAAGTCGTCCATCTGCATCCGAATTCTTGCCAAACTTGGCGCCACCATTCGGAAGCCGTTAATATTCATCTGTGATGTGGTTCCTTGTTCTCTGTTTCAGATGCCCGTGTTCAGAACAACAACGGCACTTTCAAATGACTCTGGAGGGTGTACTCGTGCTTCATCTCGAAAAGCGTCCAACAACTTTCCCCTGCACTCGCTAGCACCGACCTCGGCAAATGCACGCACCGGAATGATTTTCCAGGGTATTCGAAGCACGATGCTCGTGGAATTCAACTCAATTTTCTCGACTTGAACATTTTAGTTTTACATTTCTAAATCCTTCGAATTGAGCACATCGTGAAACAATCCCCGGATACACTCACAGTATGGAACGCGGTCCACGATTATGCATTTTATCCTCCAATACTTTTTAGCGAGGAGGATTGTCATCCGTGACCAGATGAAACTTAAACGCCATCAACTGCGAAACTTTCTGCGCGCATTACTCGGACTGGTATCATAGCAAAGAGCGTTTTAAGTGCAAAAATGAAGCCTTGAGAAAATTGTCCCAGTAGTGCACCTGAGCGAAAAAATTTATCGAAAAAAGCCGCCGCAAGTCAAACGTAGACTTGTCAAAGCGCATTAGATCACCCGAAAGACTCTCGGGAATTGTTTCGACGAATTTTATTTTAACAAAATAAAAAGAGTCTTTGCTTCTCTCAATGACGCTTGTGTTGGGTCGGACGGCCGGTAAGTGATATCTTCTGCATTCGCGGTTGCGTTTTGGACACACACCGAAACAAACTTAAGTGATGAAACTGCCGGAAAAGCGCGCCATTTTACTTCAAAGTACAGCTCTCGTTGGTTCTCTGGCGGAATAATGTCTGTCTCGGCTGTTTTTTTCTGAGACAACGTCGATTTTTGCGCACGGCTTTCTCGCGCGTCTCGTCTTGATACAAATAAGACAAATTTTGCTGATTTAAATGCATCGGTGATTTCATCCAAATTAGATCAGACAAATTTTAATGGAGACTAGATTTCGAATATTTGTGCGTGACGGCTCTGTTCGCTATCACGGCAGCGCAGTGGAAGCCCGAAATGTTTTGAAGCTCTCGTAGGATTCTGATACAGCGCATGGATGTTTAGCTCGCAGCTGGAGCAATTAACATTAGCCAGACAACCCGCGGCGCATGACGCAAGCTATCTCTCTCACTTTTGCCTTTTGTCGTCAGCGGCCCTCTTTTTTCATACGTATATTTTCCATCCGATTCCCGGTTTCAATCACGCTTGCATTGGCTCCTCGTTTTTGCTCCACTTTTGACTCGCCGAGTTTAGGGCGCTGTTTTCCGCGTCTCGTATCCTGGGCATCGAGCAGTGATAACGAGACGCTCATCATGTTGTCGTCGACGAAATTCAGCCCGCGCCCTCACTCGGACTTTTTAATCCATTGAAGTCGGCTCGAGTGCTCAAGACAACCGTCAAGTTTCGCGCATCAGTTCCTCGAGGCTCCTCGAACCCCCTCGCTCGTCTCCGTGTTTCGTTCCGGAGTTAAATGCAGCCATGAATCTCCCCACACGCGCCCGTTCGTCATACCCGGAGAAATCCTTGATTTTCTGAAAGGTGAATTTAAGTCTCGTGTCGTCGTATTGGATATCAATTTCACTGCTTCATCGTCGCCGAACCGTTGATATTTTCTTGTGCGTTTATCCATCATTCCATTGGTGTTGGCTGCAAATTAATCTCTGTGCGCTCCTTTCCGCTAGAGTACCTTTATACACTGAAAGAAAAGATTGGTAGAATTTACCACTCCTTCACGCCGTGTGATATACAGCGTGAAGGAATGGTAAATTCTACCAATCTTTTTTTTTTTCAGCGTAGGGAGAGTATGGAATGGACACGTCGATTTATGTAGCTCTCAGGGCCCAAAAAGGCGACAACGTGTAAAACGAAAATCACTTGAAAAATCCCCCTGCCAACCTATGCATTTGAAAAATTGATCAATATGGCCGACAGCGCACTGTAAACGAGCGTCATTAAGGATAAAGACCTTGAAACGGAGAAAAATTATGCGAAATCAATGTTTCATACGTTCTTTTATAATTTTTGATACGACGGGTAGTAAGAATTGTGAAAATTAGTACCACCGGATAATTCGAGTTCCTTGGTTGGCTACCGTTTTGAGCCCCGAGAGCTACATGGGCTGATAAAACCTAACCTCCAAATTTTCGACGTGTCCATGCTTTCCCTACAAAGTTACTCAAAGAGTACATAGAGTCGTAATGTAAATGGGAGAGCTGGCGCCATGTTCTGCTCGACGAGTTCCGAGAAGTTCGATACATATTCGATCCGAAATGAAAATCCGTCGAATACGTAGTAATTCTATGGTCGGGTCCCCGTGTGTCGCAAGCAATCGATTATGTATCGAAAAAGTGACCCGGCGCCGCACAGGAGTCATGGAATTGAGAATTTGCATGCAATTTTTTTGTTGCTTCATGTGAAAGTGCTTAAAGGGCTGATTTCACAGTATTTTTTATACTTTTTTTCTGATATAGGAAATGGTGCAAAAATAGTTTTAAAAGTGAGAAAATGCACCCCCTAATGCACTGAAAAAATATGCCGGTAGATTTTACCATCTCTGACACAGTGATACGAATATGGTAATAAACACCAGACTCTATGGTGGCATTTACCATACTATGGTAAGAATCACCAGAGTTCTGGCGAATACTACTATAATTCTGGTTATTTCCACTAAATAGTATCACTGTGTAAAAAATCAAGTAGACTCATAGTAAATGTCACCATACTTTTTTTTCAGTGTGACGTCATCTGGCAGCATTTTCTATTTAAACACACGTATTTTAGCAGATTCGATCATTTTGTCATAACTTCTCCAATAATTGTTCAATTCGTGAATCAAGGGCATCCTCGCGTTCAGCCCACTCAGTAGTTTCCCTTTAAACACGAAATTCATCAAATTTCAGACAGCTGCAAATTCTCCATTCGGGACCGGGAAATTGCTTAAAAGTGGCGCCAGCTCTCCCATTTGGACCGCGTTAAACAGAAAGGAACCAAGCCACATAAGCTATTGCCAAATGTAATCGGGAAATTTAATTTTTTACATGAAAACGCGGTTGTGCGGATTTCTGTGCAAATTTCAGTGAATTCTCTCCATAACACAAGGCAAATTCCTTAATATTTTCAAAGGAATCCGCACAGACGTTCTCTCGTGAAAAATGAAATTCCGCTGTTAAATTTGGCGATAGCTGATGTGGCTTGGTTCCTCTCTGTTTAACGCGGTCCATTTACACTACGACTCTATGCACTCTAGACAGGTGCTCTAGTTTCGGATTCGTTTAAGATCGCGACGGATGCGATGATGTGGATTAGAGTCCCTTTATACTGAGAGTGAAGACAACACCCCTCATGGAGTCACAAACGGGAATCAAGAGTGGCGGTAGCCACCCCCGGTCGAGGAAAATGTGTAATCTTTGATCGGCCCATTCTCAAATTCCTCTCTCCTTTCCTTCTCTCATTCCGTTTCTTCCTTGTCGAACCCGTAATTCCCTGGTCCATTCCAGATTATAATCTTTGCAATCGGTGAAACTGTAATCTTTATTCCCGTTTGTGACACTGTGAAGGCCTAAAATACGGGAACCAATCAGAAATGGATTCACATTGTTTTGACTCTCAGTATGAAGGGACTCTAATGTGGATTTTTGCGTAAGCGTCAAAGCGTCGATTCCGTGTCGGCTCAGCATGAAGCCGTGATTTGAGGCTGCTCTCAGCATCGGGGGTTTGGACCATCGAGCGGCGACTCGGCGAGCAATCCCGGCGCGAAGCGTGCGTGATCCGATGGAGGGTTTCTCGACGATGCGGGCCGGTCACGGTCACGGCTACCGGCGGCGGGGCCGGCTCGTCCGCTCGGAGAAGGTGATGGAATCGAGCACCCCGCACGTCACCGCCTGGGACATCATCATCCGGGACTCCCTCCTCCAGATCGCCTGGCCCATGTCCCTCAGCACCGACGGCAACCTCCACAGCCGATTCGTCAGAAACAGGTACGTCACATCCACGTCTACACTGAAAAAAAAAAACATCGGTCTTTTTACTGAGAAAATGGTAAAATTGCGAAGAATTGGACGTACTTCTATCAAACGGAACTATGCGCATTAAGACTTGAGCCCTGAGACCCATTAGAGTACATACGTATCAGGGCTCACATTATAATGCACATAGTTCCGTTTGATAGAAATACGTCCAATTCAGGGTTCTATTTGATCACAGTTTTTTATTAGTAAAATTACCATTTTACCGAGAAATCTCGGTAAAATTATTGAACTTTCTCGGTAATTTTACTGGACCTTGGTAAAAACGCCAATATTTCTTATCGACTGCGTGGTAGAGTTACCGAGATAAAATGGCAAAGTTACCGGAAATTGATTACCAATAAAAGTGGTATTCTTACCTGAAAAAAAACAGTAAAAATACCGGTTTTTAGGTAAGTTTACCAGTCTGTCTTGGTAAAATTACCAATAATTGGTAAAAAAAGTGAGATGGTAAAGGTACCAACGGACCTTGGTAAAAGCGCCGAGAATTTTTTTTCAGTGTACGCCACCATTCTGCCGTGCTAAAGGAGGAACGCCGTATAGACCTTCAGGAGTCGCCAAATTTTCCCTGACAACTACTAATTTTCGGCTAAATTTTTGAATATTTTCCCGCCAATTTCTTAGATAATTTCGTTCGCAATTTCACCTGAAATTCCTCAAATTTTCAAGTGAAAATATTCTTAACTCCCCTCAAATATAACAATTTTATCGAAGGAAATTTGGCAACTTTTGAATATTTTTACGGTCCAATGCTTTTACGGCGTTCTTCCTTAGCACGACAGCGTAGTTCTTTAATTACAAGTAACCGATCTAAAAGCTCCACCATGAATTTTGCTGTGCACAATCTTAGAAATATTGGAAGCTTCGTGCGCTCTTTTTCCGAAGAAGTCCTCCATTAGATCATGCGTCATATCAACGTAATCAGAGAAGAATCCCCCGTCAGAAACAGACACGTCACATCCTCGTACACGCTACCATCTGCCGTGCTAAGGCAGAAAGTCGTGTGAACATTCGAGAGTTGCCAAATTTCCTTCGATGAAATGTTTATTTTTGCGGAAAGTCACGAAAATTTTTCCTTTACATTTTCAGAATCTTCAGGTGACATTGCAAACAAAATCATCTGAAAAACTGGCTGGAAAATATTCATAAATTTGTCAGGAAATTCGCATTTTATCAAAAGATATTTGGCAGCACATGAAGGTTCATACGGCGCGGCGTTCTTCCATAGCACGGCAGTACACTCTTGTAGGTACTAATAAGCGTTCCACGCCGACTGACCGACTGCACTGCGTTTTGCGTAATGCGAGAGGTATTCATGCAGTCTTGTAGGCGCTTATATGGGCTTCACGCCGAGTGCATTGTTTAGCGCAATGCCTGAAGTATTCCCATAGTCTTGCGGGCGCCAATACACGTTTAACGTCGGCCGCACCGTGTGTGGCTTTTACTCTCTGGGATTGAACATCTTCTTGTGCACAATTGGATTAAATTTTGCAAAAAGGAACCAAGAGCATTCCGACGCTGCCAGGATTGTTCGACTTACACTTTTTGCCGTATAATCACTCAAATCACTCAACAAAATAAAAACGGTAATTTTCGTCTTATATTTCTAGTTTTTTGGGAGAAAAAATGAAATTTGCTTCGATGATCAGTATCTACTCGTATTTGCAAGGTAAAAATAGTGGTACAATCTCAGGGACATTGGAATGCTCCTGGTTCATTTTGCAAAATGCAATCCAATTACAAGAGAGCAGTAGGCATCACCCTTTTTTCGGCTGTTGACATACCTAACAGGTGGATGATGAGTTTCAGTTGCGACGTATTGAGCCAAACAAGTGTCTCAAACTTCGGAATGTTTGCGAAACAAAATTCTCAACACGTTGTTCAACGTCCTCCTGGTAGATAAGTCAATTAATAGTCGAACGCTGAAGTCCCCAAAGTGAAAGCTTTCGCAATTGTTAAGATAGCAGTGGAGGGTCTTTTGTCTCTGGTGTCAACAGGCACGCTCAGCGTCAATAACTGAATTGGTTATTCTAAAAAAGACTTAAATGCCAGAAATGAAGATTCGAGAAAAACAGTACAAACTATTTTAATCAACCTGTTTCAAATCTTGGAGGTTAAAAAAATGAATATGTGAAAAGATTGCAATTTAAACTCGGATCCTGGTTGTTTTTGACAATTTCCAAAAACTTAAATTAAAGAGGGGGGAAAACGGAACTGTTGTTTGAGTCCTTTTGAGAATGATTGGAAATATCTCAACATATTTTCCTTATGTAAAGTCAAATTTTCAGTATGTCAAGCCATTATTATGAACGGAAACATGCATTTAAATTTCCTCCACATAAAGTAAAATGATAACTAACTGACTGATATTTACATTACTGATTTTTGTTTAAAAGTGCAAATAGTCATTACAATCCAAAAAAATGAGACATATATGGCCTGAAAGAACAAATATTTACATATTTATTCTCTTAAATTCGAAATGAGTTCAACTTGGATCAAATCAAGGTTCACCAAAGCAAGTATAATGCAGTGCTTCGGCGCTTGAGTCTCTTCGAGAATGACTGGACTTCTCCGTTGTTTTTTCAGGCTTTCATAATCAGTTTTTTCTTCTTGCCACTTATTGCAGCAAGATGCATCTTATGTCTGAACAATACGAAATCACCAAAAATACAATTTTCGATTCTTTGGCACTTCAGCTTTATTGAGAACGACTGGTTTAATTTTAAATCCTATTTCTCCCAATACTTCTCGAATACCCTGCCCCCCCCCCTCAAAAATAGAAATCGTGATTTCTGCGCGGCTAAACATTTTTAATTATCTGGAATGTCTTCAGTCCTCTTGCAATTGAATTCATGCCATCTAGGGAAATTCAGAAACTCAACATTTGACAAATAACCAACGCCATTCCGTTCACCCCTTCACAACTAAATTAAGAAGCTCGATTTACGACTGCAATGCGTGCTCCTGAAGTTGGCATTAAAATGAAACTGCAGAAGAGACGATTCGCGGCAACGGAGTGCTTCATTTAGAGCCAGCCACATTTCTAAGCCACGCAGAAGAATCTCTCCCTTGGACGTTAACAGTTTAGACATGCTGGAGGGATCATTGCGAAGTTTCTGATGTAGATAATTTTAACACAACCCATCCAGACTTTGTACAACATCGTTCATTGTCGAGTATCGTTTCATAAGGTATTTTGTATGTCACCGATAAAATATCTTCTTACCTCGCTAGTTTTTACCGTCTAGAATTTGTCCTGTCGGAACCTAAATTGTATTGCAGCCTTAACGGAACGTAAGAACTGCAGGATATAATTACACCCCCTATTTTAACCTGGGAGACACCCTCCTACCACCGCACCCCAGACAACGCCTATGGGCCCAAAAATCCTAAATCCAATTAACCCCAATAACATGCGCCTGGGCAACTTTGAATCCTTCTGTAAAACACTTTAAGGGTAGTCAAAGAACTTAGCTACTTTCACCGTTTGCAGTTGTATCGGGTATTTTGCACCCCTGCAGAATGCGTTCGGATTGCCTGCGCTCAACCATTATCAACAACATCAATGTAACGTTTTCGATGCAACGGGGATGTTGCATGCAAGAGATACCTACAGCCAGGTAAATGCACTTTCGATAGGTATTTAAAATTTACTCGAAAAGCTCATGGGGCACATCAGAAAAGTCAAAAACCCACTCTCTAACGCGTAATCTGGGTAGTATGAAACACTCTTTATCAAACTTACCTCTTTGCCATTGTGACTGAAAGTCTGGTTTACTCATAGAGAGATACTCAAGCGAACATTTACAATAAATAAACTAACAATCTCGCGAACTGTTCAAAACTTCCCATACGTGAGATTTCAATCAATTCGAGGAATTTGTCTTTGCAGCATAAAGAAACAAGGCGATAAAAGCCTAAAATTATACGCCAGAAATATTCTGCTAATTCAAGAGTTTTCTTACTCCTCTGTCAAACCTAGTCTGCAAACCTAGTCTCTGGCGACTAAAATAACTGCCCAGGGACACTGGGACAGGGCCGGATTTACCTACTTGCCGCCCATGGGCCGTCTGTATTTTGCCGCCCCCTCTCATTCGTTTTGAAACACCAATAAAAACCATCAAATGAACGTGCCGGAGGGCCAGGGGTGCCTAAGAAGCGTTTACTTGTGTTGGAAACATTTTTTGCGAAAGCCCTGTCAACACTACTAGAAAAGTTCACGGAACTCTGCGCGAATATTAAGTTTCGTAAACCTATCTCTGTGAAAAGAAGGCCTTCCATTTGTAAAAAATGAACGAAAACATTATGAAAGAACAAACATAAATGTGTTTTAATAATTTTAACTTCTGCCGCCGCGCCGCCGCGCCGCGCTGACCGCACTGTGTTTGGCGCAATGCGTGAAGTATTCCTACAGTCTTGTAGGCGCTATGCGTTTCACGCCAACCGCTGCTCAACGCACTGTGTTTGACGCAATGCGTGAAGTATTCATGCAGTCTTGTAGGCGCCAATATGTGTCACATGCCAACCGCTACGACGAGGACCTCTCCTTTTCATCTCAAGTTCTCGTTATCATTGCTCTCTGCGCCGCGCCGCTCCGGGCCCAATTGCGTGTTTGGCCTCTCTCTTAACTCGACTAATTACTACGACTAAGGTGCTGTCTCTTGTATCACCGGGAGACGACAAAATCAGAAATTACTATACTCTCAGGAAATGAGTGATTTTGTCGCCTTTTCTCATTAGTAATTTTTTTTTCTGAATCCAATTTTTTTTATACCTACTTTTAAAAAAAATGCAAAATTTACCGCCCCCTAAATTTGCCGCCATGGGCCGCGGCCCATGTGGCCGCCTCCTAAATCCGGCCCTGCCCAGGGACGTGGGAAACTCGAAGAAACGAGGTTATAAATCCACACGATTCCGTTGCGTAAGAAGGAGTGTATCTGAGACTTCTT